TCCTTATTATAACTCGATATATCACGTATATACCTTCTATACTTCTTTTATACCCTTTTCCCACGCTTACCTACCTAATACTATTTATAACTTAGTAGTACGTCGTGGAGTATCTATCTACCGTTAATAGATCTAAGGACGTGGTATTTAAGTAGTAGTTCCCTAAATACTTCTACTAAGAATGTATAAGCGAAGGGCTACCCTTTAAAAGGTATTTCCGTACTATTATACTATTTAGTAATAAAAGTTTATTTATTACTAAGCTATCAATATCCGGAGCCGTGTTCCGGGTTTAGTGCTGGACAAATAAGGAGAGTATTATTAGCTACTATAACCGGGCTATTATATTAGGTTATAATAACCTCCTTAACCGAGCACTTCGTTAGACTATCTTCGCCCCCGTATTCGAGGTAAATAGGATAATGAAAACGGATAACGCGTAAATATTACCTTTAATCTACCTCTAGCCGCCGTTTTTACTCGACTATAATTATAACACATGCAGCTAGACTAAGCCCGAGTAAATATTCGAGTAATACTTAGCTAGTATATCCTGTTATAACGCATTATAAGAACTAAACGGCCGTTTCCTCCTAGACCCGCTATCTGCCTCCCGCGGTATTAATCTGGCTACGTCTTAGAACTAGCGCGTAATTAGTATACCTATATTATTTCCCGCCTAGTCGGGCATGGGCGGTATTAATATAGCCGGCCTATCGCTACCCTCCGCTATTTCTATAACGGATAGAATACTACCCGGCTATATTCTATAGGAGATAAACGAGATAGTATAGCTTACGCTTAAATTAGTAGATACGGTAGAAGTTTGCTATAAAGGCGACATCGACCAAGCCACCTTCCTAGCTAGAACCGGCGACTATAACGCTTTTATTAAGAGTCGCGCCGCGTCTATTATGTAATTCCTTTAGTCTACCGCCTAAAGAACTACGCTAACTATTCTATAAGCTATTAATATCCGTACCTAGCTATATTTAGGTATAGCTAATAACGTTACTTAGATTACCTCGCTAATAATAAATGCTATACCCTTTAGTGGTATTTAAAGACTGTACTAGGAATATATAGCTTTACCCGTCGCGAAGCGATAGATAACTCGCGCCGGCGAAGATACTATCTAGGTTATAGGTTATAAGAGTCTCGCTAAATAATTATATAACCCCTAAGTACCGTACACTAAAGCCGAATTCTATTTCGGTAAATAGAAGCTAAGCTATATTACCTAGCGATTATACGCCACCGTTATCCTAGTCCTAACCGGCAGTTAGATATTCGTTTTCCTTATCATATATATCCTAAACCACGAAGTGTAAAACGCGGTCGACCTTGTATTCCTAGACGTGATATAGCGATTAGAAAAGTATATTCACCTAATAAAACTAGATAATAATAACTTACTACCCGGCGCTAAATATATTGTATTAGCGTAAAGGTACGAAAACAATCTAGAAATAGCGGATATAGTTATCCGGTATTCGGCCGTTCTTACTCGTTACTATAAGGGTAACGCGAAGAAGGGGGTGCTATTATTCTACGATATCTTAGCCGATAAGCTTAAAAACCAGATCCTTAATATTCTAGACTACGATATAGCGATTATTCTAAAAAAGCTATACGAGGAATAGGGATTCCTAGACGATAAACCCGAATTAGCCGAAGCCACCGTTATATAAATAGGATTAGAGTAGACGCCGTAGAAGTAGCTATTCCCACGTAGCGATAGCGGGATATAATACGTTTAGAGTACGGCGGTTCGGTTAGACTAGCAGAGTTCGCTTCGGTATTTAGTATTCGGATTTAGTATACGGCTATATAGCGCGGATATATAGAGTTTATTTAGAATTAGTATATAAGGAGTAAAAGATAGTGTATAAGTGCATTATCGTGAAAAGATATATAGGTTATATTTAATAGTTTAGGTACTACGGTCTTTTCTTTACTTTTCTTATATTTGTTTTTATTTTTATTTATATTACTAGCTTTCCGGGTATTAGCGCCGCTATAAGTATAGCGGAGGCCCGTAGATACGGTTTAGCTTTATAGGCCGAATTTATAGTCTTCTACTTTTCCGTTTCTCTTTATTATAACTAATACCTGCCCGTAACCGTCGCTTAGCAGTAACTATAGGTAACACGCGTAGGTATGTAGGGAACGCCCGCGGGACGCAGGGCCCTTTTTGCCCGGGGTATATAATATGACCACGATTAGAAGGGACTATACGCGTATATAGATCCTGCGGCACGGACCCTATACGAACGAATACCCCTAAGCTACCGCTTATTTAGACCGGAGCTATATATCCGTATAGATCCGGAACTATACGTTCGTAGAAAAACCGGAAGAGAAATAGTCCGGGCCCGCCAAGGATATATATCCTCGGTGCTATTTGCCCCTTAGCTTAGATGACGATATCTTTATTACACCTTATATTTTACAGTAAAGGTCACCCCTTTCTAAACCATAGAATCCCTAGGTCCGATAGTACTGGCTAGCCAGATGTATGCCTGGTTAGGGCATATTAATAAGCCTCCTATATAGAGAAGATCGTGGTTAAATACTATATAGATATCCTCTACTGTAAACTACTAAAGATCCTATTATTAACTATAAAGCCGCTATTACTACACGATAGCCCCTGAGCATTAATCCTAGAGGTCCGCTAGTATTAGGGTATAATCGGTTTAATTCTATATACCGCTATTATAATAAGACCCGATATCATATTCGCCTCCTCGAAGCTTTCCTAATATAATATTAACCCCTCCTCTAACTACCTTAAAAAGGCTTAATAAGTGTTATTATTCTTATACTATATAAGATACTACTACCTAGAATTCGGTAAAGATAGACTCTTCTTAACCGCGAGCGACGCGTCTTTCAGGGATAATCCAGACTATAAGAGTTTATAAGAATATACGATAAAGCTATGTGACGGTATAATTAACTAAAAGGCGGGTAAGTGGCTAACGGTTAAGATATCGTTAATAGAGTTGGAATTACTTACTCTTATAGAGGTAGATAAGGAGATATTATTTATTAGTCGGATATTATAGGATTTAGAGCTTCGGTTAGATTAATAATAACTATAGTTATATTATAATATATTATAATACCACGGTACCACTACGATACAGAGACAATTATGTTAAGACTTATTTGCGATTAATGTTGTGATTGTTGTTACTGCTACTGCCGTACTACCTAGTTAACCCCACGCCACCGTAACGTCGCTAACAAACCACCACGTACCAGATTGATCGGGGAAACTGTGAATTAAGAACAGAAAAACTAGAAGATACTACTAGTTAGCACTATGCCGCGACGGCAGGCCTTTAAGGCCGTAGGCGGGAACGTAATAATGGGCACCTATAACATGCTCCATAGCGTTATAGGAAGGAAAAGGGGAAAAGGAAAAGGACCTTAATTTCTATTATCTATCTACCTTTTTTTAAGCGTGGGCGGAGCCCTATCCTTCCTACCTACCGCCGGATATAGAAGACACCCCCCCCTAAGGGAGGCAGGAACGCCTACCTCGCCTTTTCTTTATTAATTAAATAGAAGGAATAATAGGCACGGCCCTTAGGGATATAGGGAGGCCGAAGTTAGCGTGCCGCGGCCGTTACACGGCGGAGACGCCGCGGCGCCCTTTCGGCCCCCGCCCCCTTACTAATAACCGGCCTAGGCTAACCCGAATTATAGCCTACTACCCTTCCCGTTAGTTACTAGCCTAGAGGTGTAATCCAGATATATAGACGGGGCGAACCCGGGCTATATCGGCCCCGTAGCGGTATTTCTCTAACTAAGGACAAGTATAGAGGTCTTTCCCCTAGGACCCCGGGTTTTCCCCTTTATAGCTACCCGAGAAGGACTGTATAGTCTAAATTAGGCTTTTATAGATTAGATTAGATAGGATAACAGAGTAAGAATAATAATAATAATAATAATAAATATATTATAATAATTAGTAGACTAGTAACCTTATTAATAAAAAGATATAACGCCTACGAATAAGGCTATACTATATTAATATTTATAACTAATAAGCGCATTAATTAGTATAGTAAGGACTTTTTAGGACTATATATATTAATATAAAGAATATAATAGTAAACAGATTTATAAAGACGTTACCGTAGGCGGGGATTGAATAACTATAATAATAGCTTAACTTAACAGGTAAAAAAGATTATATTAAGTAGTTAAAGTAATTACACGAAAAGATTAAAGGCGCTAAAGCCGTAACGATAACGATAATAGCCCCCTAGGGCATAGTAGATCCGACTAAGCCGATCCGGCTAATCAGAATCAAGGAACTAGTTATAATAGAATTAAATTAAACGGTTAAATAGGGCAGATTTAGATCCCTTTTGCGAGGGCGTTTTCCGTTAACTATTATTTTTACGATAAAAAGGTTAAGAGCTTTTAGTTTAAGCCGAAGCCTGTAATTAATTAGTTAAACTAGCAGAACCCACCTTAACTAAAAGGGTATATCGTATAGGTATAGACTATACCTAGTAGACTATACTTGACTAAGAGCTTCGGGCCTCGGGGACCTCGGGTATTAGGATATAATAAGGGCAGATACCGGAAAAGACTAGATAGGATCCAAATAATATAGTACCTATAGCAGAGTCTTCACCACCTAAATTAAGGGTATAAGAAACTTATCTAGATATAACTTAATATAATACACATACACGAGATTTCTGCTCTATTAGGATTATCACTATAATTGTTATACAAGTGCTATTTGACGTGCGACAGTTATTATACTGAAAAGAGGGATACGGTCGGTCGGTTAAGTGTTGTTGATTAAGGGAAAACTGCCTAGCTACTAAGGTGGAGGGCAGAGTAGGATATGTAGCCTACCCTAGGGTGGGATACGTAGCCACCCTAACAATACCCACCGGTGTGGCTGAAGCCCCATTGGTGTGGCTGCCGTCATTCTGTGTGATAATATAGTCCCTTCGCACGACTCGGCCCAAGGACACATCGGAGGCGTCTATCGTCCTTCGCCATATAGCCATACTCCTATCATTAACACCTCTTAATCCACCCTCAACTACTGGCAGGATCTGGTTGCCATCATGTCTGGTGCTGCTGTATGTACTCCCCTCTGCGGAATTCCGGGCGTATTTGGCAACTGATCATGCGGACTGGGAGGTGGTTTCTAGGATCGGGAACCTGTCTTTCCCACCCGGCAATCGCTGGGTGTTATGAAAGCCAAGCTGAAAGGAGCAGAGACGGGCCACAGTCTACTCAAGAGGAAGAGTGAAGCTCTTACGAAGTATTATTTTCCGATATTCTAGCCGGTATGCATAACGATTGCTAATTATGACCGTCCTTACCAGACGTTTCCGAGGTCAGTTTATATAAGTTGCCGTTATAACCTCTCCGGTACCTGACGATAATTGTGCAGAAATTACCGCCCGCATCGATGAAGCCAAGCGCAAAATGGGTCGGGTAATGCAGATCGCCTCGTTCTCGCTGGCCGAAGTCACGTACGCGGTGGGTGGAGATATAAGATATCAAATTCAGAATTCAGCCAGATCCGCTCGGTTCCGTATACGCACCAAACAAGAAAACGTATCGGGCGTCCTTCTACCGACCTTCGAAAGCTACATGACCGAGGGTAACGACGATTTTGGCTTAACGGGGCTGGGCAAAGGTGGCCAGCAAGTACAGAGGTGCCGAGAGACATACGCCAGAGCTGTTGAAGCTCTGGTTGAGCTTGCGAGCCTTCAGGTATGGTGTATCTATTCTTTCTTGGGCAATGATACAGAGCGGCCAAAGCCAACGCGAAATAGACCGCCTTCGTCATACTCGATGAAGTAATCAAGGTAGTCAACAGGCGAGGTAACCAACCCCCCTACTTTTTTTCTTCTTCTTGTTTTATTATTTATGTTTTTACTGTCCTCTAGATCTGAATCAATAGACTAACGATACAGTTAATGCGATGTCTGTCACCCCACGCCAAAGCCTGCCCATCATCGATATACTAACTTGAGCAAAGCGAGCACGTTATCATTCCTCGAACCGAGAACACAATCAAATGTACGCTCAATTTTCGCACGAAGACTGGGCTGCTGCTTACTTTGTCCTACTCCCAGACATCAATTCAGAGCTCGATGAACTAGACAGGGAGGAGTTCTACCGATTAAAAAAGGTGGCGGGGAAGAAACAGAGAGACACTGCAGCATCGGATGCCGAGATGAAAGCTAGGAGGGCTGCCGCCGAACGTGACGACGATGACCATCCATCCAGAGGTCCTGCGGACATTTTGGTTGCTGGGGAAGACGAGGATGTCATTTTCTAAGATGCACGGCACCGTGCCAGACAGAAACCCTATGGGGCCACCGCGACAAAATGAATGTGTCCGAGCGGATGATCTTTTGTAGATTAGTCGCAGAGAGTATCGCAGAGTACGGCATCATGGTAGACTTGACCTTCCTTTCGGCAATAAAGCGCGTCGTGACAGGGCGCTTTCCTTAGTTAAGTATTCACGAGAGTTGGTGACTTGACCGCAAGGAAACTGTTTATGCACACGGTACCTTTGCACGGTCTTAAGACTGTCGTGTCTAATGTCTCTGATATGTCACCTTGATGGTATGGGAGTCTCCCAACACCATACCGGCAGTGTTCTCCTTGGCAGTGATGGCACCTTGTTCTCCTGCGTACTCGACGAAGGCAATTCCCCGCCGGCCCGGGACAAGCCGGACCTCACGGAACCCGTCGAATCGCCCGAATATGCTGGTTACTGCTTGGATATCGTAGTCGTCGGGGAGATTCTGAACAAACAATATCTTGTTTGGAGGCAGATATTCGTCCGGAATGACGGTAGTAGCAGGATGTGATGACTTCAGCCCTGTTCCCCGAGGGATCTTAACAGGTCTAGAGGCGGCATCCTGTAACGGAGCGCCGTGACCCGGTCGCTTGAGCCGCTTCTGTTCTTCTGCAGCCTCGAGGGCCTTCTTTTTGTCTGCGATGTGTCAGTTCATTGCGGCGAAGTAAAGGTAATAAAAGGGGATATGCTCGCACTGATTCGGGGTGTTGAAAGCGAAACATTACCCTTTTCTGCGAGCCTTCGTCGCTTATGCATTTCGAACTCCTCTTCAGTTCCGGAGGTCTTGACCGTTGCATCGCTTCTTGTCCTTGCGAGCGCGACTTGCATTGGCTTCTCAAACAACACGAACCCCTGCAACTCGTCGGTAGAGGCTTGAGCAGACTCGGGATTGTCAAAGACCACAAAGGCCTGTCCCTTTGCCTTCAAGTTCGTTTTGGCGATGATGTCGATAACGGTCCCATACTCGGAGAATATATGTAGAAGAGCCTCCTTTAAGACATGTGGCTTCACACGCTCCTCGAGATTGCGAACATATACCCTAAGAGACAGTTTGCGCAAGCCCGGGTTAGCCACCTTTGAATCACGCCGTGTCGGAATGGAATGACACGTACGTAGAAATGGGTGCGGATCTCATCTTTGGCAGGTCTCGTAAAGAAGCAAGCTGGTAACGAATCAAATGCGTACTTGGGAGGAGTGTGTCTCCGAAGATCACGTTCGATGTGAGATGCCCACGGCCACCTTATCGAGGTGTGACAAACCACATTATGTTAGACGTGTGGAGTGTCGGACAGGCCGTAAGATTGACGGTTACGTAACGGGCACGGATTTGACCGAAGGATTATACCCTTAGTAATCGGGGTGGACACCTGCAGAATCTTCACCAGAGAAATTACGGTGGCAGGAGTTCCCCAACGGTCGAGGGATTTTAGCAAGGGACACACGCAGATCTCAGATTTACAAGCCTCAATTAAATCAACGGATTAACTACCCTATTACTATTCTACGTTATTATTACGGTTACGCTATATCTGATAATTAAGAGTCTTATATACTATCGATAATCTATTCTTTTTACCTATTAAACTACCGATTAAGAGCTATCTAAGCCGAGCTGGTGTAGCGAACCTTTTACCGAACCTTTTACGGCTCGAAGAAGCCAACCTACGATTAAGATCACTGTTCTGCAAGATCTCCGAGGTCAATACCATATAAAATTATACCCAAAGCGACTAGACCTTCTGGGAACGAAGTGATAACGCGACGGCTATAGCCTATAGCGTCCGGAACCAATTTACTAACCTCAAAGATAATCCCCTTTTCCTCAAACTAGCCTCAGAGCCTTACCCTGATTTTAACAACCTTACAATCCTTATTCCAACCACTATACCGCCCTCTACTAGATCTAACCACCGCCGGAACGGCCACCTGAACGGACCTCCGCGGTAGATCTAACGACTGCCGGAACGGCTATAATACCCTCAATCAATTCCAACAACCGCGCCGCCTACCGCGCTAGATCTAACGGCTGTCGAAACGGCCGCGTATACCCTTAACTACGTCAACGGTTTGCCTGCTTCCTGCAGCAGATCTAACCACCGCCGGAAAGGCCACCTGACGAGGATGCCTTGGATGCCTCCGTGGCAGATCCAACGGCTGCCGGAACGGTCACCTACAACATAAAACAATAACTGAAAAGGATCCTGCAAAAGCGTCGAAGAACACCACACGGGTGCTAAAGACAAGTCACGACCTTATAAGAAGACTGGCCTATATTCCCTAAATAGCCTACTCCAGAGTAGGCTTAAGGAATCCTCTTAAGTCCAAAGGTCGAACGGGTACTTATTCAGACCCGAAACTAATAACCGCAAGACTGCTTTAGAGGACCTATTTTAATAGCCATTTAAGAGTGGCCGCCTAACCTGTTCGGAGGCCGGCACGTAATAACTACGTGGTCGCCGGCAGCACGGCGTTACTAATCTAACTGCCCTTCTAAGCAGAGGGATCTACTATATAAGCTAAGTTATTTCCACGATTAAACTATTATATATCTACGTGCTTGTAACGATACTAACTACTACGACTACGGCCGTAGAATAGTTAGATATCCTCTTAACGGTATATACGGCTCCTGCCTTTACGGTGGATTATACCGATCTTTCCCTTTTTATAACCACGCGTTAGATTATATCGATCTTTCCGATTTCGTAACTATATAGTAGAATATACCGATCTTTCCGAATTTCACAATTATAATTAAGGGCGTTAGATATCTACGCTATTATACGGGAGTTCCTGCGTTAGTTTAAGCGGTAGCTCTAATCATAACGAATATACCCGTAAGAGTAATATTAAGCTAATATAATCCTACGAGAAAGTAGACGTTATTAAAGGACCTTAATATCCGACTAGAGTACTCTATACTAGAGACTTTTAGTTAATAAGTAACGTGGTAAGGCCTATAGCCCTGATACCGCTATACTCTCGGTTCCTTAAACCTACTCTTCTTTAGTCTTCTAAGGTTACGGTCTAGTATTTTAGATATAACTTACCCTTTACCGGGGCTAGTTCCCCCCGGATCCTCTTCCTCGACGGTATCGTTAAGGTTATAGTCCGCGTCGCCCGGCCGTAAAGGGTAGAGGAGGCTATCTCGAGTCTAAGATAAATAAGATTTAGGTTATAAACTATATAATGTAGCTAGTATAGCGCTTAATCCCCGTCTATAACCACCTCGTCTATAGCTTCCCGCTTTATTAGTGACCCCGCTATCGGTTATAGCGCCGATAGCAGCTATAATATTAGGAAATCGTGATTCTCGTATATTAACGGGGTTCTTTATAGAAAGAGGAACACGATATAGCGATTCCCCTATAGCTAGGCCTATAGGGCTCCTTATAGAAAGAGGAGCGCGCCTATATCGGTAAGGAGATAGCTAGAAAAGAAACTGGAGAAGAAGCTAAAGACCGGATATCGGCGTTTAACACCGGCCGGAAGCTCTTCGTAATGTGGCTACCCGGTACCCGGTTCCCGGGAATAGATAGAAGACTGCTTAACGTGACTACCTCCGGAACTACCGGAAGATAGGGCCGTGGAAAATAATGCCGGCAGACGTCGTAAAAGACACTAAGTACCCGAGTCTATATAGAAATAATATATAAGGCTGATAAGTATATATTCCTACACGATTACAGGGCATAGTGTATAATACGAGGAGACTAACAGTATCAGATCCGGCTCCGCAGACTCAAGATTTTCCCGTACGCGTTAGAGCTCGGGGGTATAGGTCGAGGTCTTCTTAAACGCCGCATATATTACCTTATATACCGCCTCACATGCCGAAGATACGGTTAAGATCTGCCGCCTTATATACTGCCTCGTGCGCCGCTGCGTATACCGAAGATACAGTCAAGATCTTCTTAAACGCCGTGTATGTTGCCTTATATGCCGCCTCGCATGCCGAAGATACGGTTAAGATCTACCGCCTTATATACTGCCTCGTGTGCCGCCGCGTAGGCCGAAGATACGATCGAGATCTTCTTAAACGCCGTGTATACTGCCTCGTGTATAGCCTCGCGTGCCGAAGATACGGTTAAGATCTTCCTGATAACGTATACTGTCTTATATACCGCCTTATTTACCGAAGATACGGTCAAGGTCTTCTATCTGGCGGCTTAAGATACGGCACCTCCGCGAGTACCACGTCGAGTACTATATCGAGTACCTTTCGCGAGGATTAACTATCGCACGTCAAAAGGCACTTAGATGATTAACTTAGTAGAGCAGAAATCTCGTGTATATGTATTATATTAAGTTATATCTATATATGTCTTTTATGCCCTTAATTTAGGTGGTGAAGACTCTGTCGTGGGTACTATATTATTTGGATCCTATCTGGTCTTTTCCGGTCTCCGCCCCTATTATATCCTGATACCCGAGGTCCGAAGCCCTTAGTTAGGGAGTAGATCCCACCTAGATTCCCTATAGACTACGTCGTAGTCCTGTCTATACGATACACCCCCTTAGTTAAGGTGGGTCTTCCTAGGTTAACTAACTAGTTATAGGTTTCGGTTTAAACTAAACGCTCTTAACTTTTCTATTATAAAATTAATAGTTAGGGAAAAATGCCCTTATAAAAGGGATCTAAATCCGCCCTATTTAACCGTTTAATTTAATTATATCTTAATTAGTTCCTCGATTCTAATTAACCGGATCTGCTTAATCGAATCCACTTCTATCGGACCTGCTATATCCGTGGAGGCCTTTATCGTCGCTGCGACCGTGGCTTTAGCGCGTTTAATCTCTTCGTGTAGTTACTTCGATTACTTAATATAATCCTTTTAATCCGTTAAATTAAGTTATTATTATAGTTATTTAATCCCTGCCTCCGGTAGTGCCTTTATTAAACCGTCCGCGATTATCTCCTTCGTGTTAATATACGTGACCTTAAAGAGACCTTATTATACTAACTAGCGCGCTTACTAGTTATATATATCGACGTGCCGTAGCCTTATTCGTAGGCGTTATGCCTTTTTATTAACCAGGTTAATAGTCTGCTAATTATCGTAGTATAGCTATAGTTACTAGTAGTCTAACTAAAGCTCTAAATCCCTTAATATCCGGCTAACGAATAATATCTCTTTAGCTGCCTCTACAAGAGCGAGTAGTTTTGATTCTATTAATAACGTCGTGATTATCAGTTATTTACCCGTCTTTTAGTTAACGGTTCCCCCGAAGAGCTTTATCGTATATCCTTATAAACTCTTACGGTCTGGATTATCCCTAAAGAACGCGTCGCTTACTATTAGGAAGAGCCTATCCCCGCCGAATTCTAGGTAATAGTGTCATATATAGTATAGGAATAGCAGCATCTATTAAGCCCTCTTAAGGTGGTTAGAGGAGGGGTTAACGTTATATTAGCAAAGCTGTAAATAGGCAAACGCGATATCGGGTCTTATTATAATAATAGCGTATAGGATAAAGCCGATTATACCCTAATACTAACAGACCTCAGGAATTATCGCGCGCGTAACATTACGTAGTATTAGCGGTTCTATCGTTAATAATAGGACCTTTAATAGTCTTCGGCAGTGTATATCTACGTAGTATTTAACCGCGATCTTCTTTACGTAGGAGGATTATAATAGCTATAACCTACGTGTGGCTTTATCCCTTAGAACCTTAATTCTAAGAAACTAACGGATTTCCTCGCCTCCCGATAGCTTATAGCTTCGTTTAAGGGTAGCCTTAAGGTCGTCGGCGTTAGTCTTACGATCTCTATAGTAGATAAGTCCGATATCGTTAACGTAAAAGAATAGGATTAAACTATCGCGGATTATAATATAGGGGTTATTAGCTATGGCCGTGAATTCTATCTTCTATAGCGTGCCGTTAAATTCCTCCTACTATAGTAGTAGCGATACCCTTAAACCGAAAAGGGCTTTCCGTAGTAGTAGTACCTTACCTAGCACTTTATAGCCTTACGGTATCTTCATAAATATTTCCTTTTAAGGCTAGCGTTAATAAACGCGTTAAGAGTATCGAATTACCTTATTTTTAGGTTAAATTATACGGCGATCGCTATTAGAATACGGAAGGACTATAAGGCTAGCGTAATGGCGCAGTTATCTTTAGTCTCTAACCGTTGTTATTAATCCCCTTATACTATAAGGCGTGCCTTATACTTAAGTAGGGTGCCCTCCTTATTAAATTTATAGGTGTATACCTATTTATAGGCGAGGACTTATTACTTATTAGCCTAATTACCGCCTACCTCCTACTAATAGTCTATTTATCGGTAGCCCTTAAGGTCTTCCCCATTAGCCTATAACTACCGCTCCTGTAAT